GTATGGAAGGAGTGTAACGAAGGTAGATAAATGCTAGAACTTAGGGCACTTGTTTCCATTTACCAGACTGCTGGCAGTATGTGTTAAGACCCCTTAAAATAATTGGGTCTAGCGTGCCATGAAGTGGCTACTTTAGTCCATTATCTAGAGGGTATCGAATCCAGACCTTACTGCAGAGGTATATAAATTTGGAAGGGCTCAAATCAGGGATTAATTTTAGAGATTTGGGCTTTTCAGTAGACAACCCAGTAGTGTGTATGTGGGTACAGTCGAAGACAATGTGGTATCCATTGGGTGATGTGGCTGTTACCCAGCTATCAGTTGGCATCCCGAAAGAAAAGCTGGCAACGAAAAATCAGGCTCAGGCTAGATAATCAAGTCATCACGAGAATATCTAGGGGCCTCCATGGAGCTAGTCTGGCAGAAAATAGCTCACCTGGTACCAGGATTTCTGGCAGCTGCAAGAGCTTTGGGGGGAGGGTGGCTGGGAGCTATTTCTGAGAGGGAAATCACCCAATGGCCAATGTCCTAGGTCGTAGTTCAGCTAGAGGCCAGTCATATGGACTGGGGCAATGAAAAGGCAACCCCTTAGCCCAGGGAAAGTTGGCCAGACCCTAACTGGGGATCCAGGGTTCCTCCTGTCAATCAGAAACTCTTTGCCAATTAGTACATCGGTGTGTTTGTGGGCTTGTGCAGTCTGGTATCAGGAAAGATGGAACCGTTGGGCAGTGTCCGTCTTGCTACCCAGCCCATGTGGCAGAGCACCACGTGGGGGGCCGCAGCGGCACAGCTCACATGGTGGAAGTTTTGTGAGCCTCTCAGCAGTGGATAGGATTGGTCTACAGCAGTGGTGGAAATTCACAGGGTCAGTGATGGCAGGTAACAGCAGATGAAGTCCACGTGGTGTAGTGGTGGCAGCTGCGGAGGTTGGGTTGCAGCAGGCCACATGGTGTTGGTCTTGTACGGTCACAGCAACCTCACAGCAGCCAGCTACCAGTGGCCGCATGGGTCTCGAGGTTCCTGAAGTCTTTGTATCCCGGGTTTCAGCAGGAATGAAATGATGGAAGGAAACCAATGATGGAAGGAGATGTCTCAGCGGCCCATGCCCAGGCATTTCTTCCCCCTGAGGGACCAGCCATACGGTATAGCATAAAATAGAGTTAATTCAGGGCATGGGGAGGGGAGCCAGGAGAGTGGCAGAGGCAGAGAGAGAGAGAGAGAGAGAGAGAAGTGGAGGCTGGCATGACCACATGGAGAGAGGGGGAATGGAAGGGGGAGGGAGAAGGGGACAGGGGGGGAAGCTACAGGCAAGAGATCAAGGGAATAAGAGAGAGGAAGAGAGAGAGGAGGTGGCAAGCAGCCCCTTTTATAGTGGGCACGCCTACCTGGCTGCTGCCAGATAACTGTGGAGGTGGAGTTAGACAGAATACTAACACTCTGTTTTACATTTTCAGTGTTTGCCATCTCCAAAGGGACAAATTTTAGCCTCTCTGTTTTGTTTGTTTGTTTGTTTGTTTTAATTTCTCTCTATCACCCACTGTATGTCAGTGGAGCCACTCTGTTTTGGTTTTTGCCCCCATTTCCATGACTGCTTTCTTCCCCACACTCCTGTGGCTCTGGGACCCTCCAGCTTGCTCTCACTCTCCTACAAGGATTGGCCTCTGGTCTTTCTCTCTTTCTGTCTCTATTTTTCATTATCCCTTTAACCTTCTAGCGCTTAAATAGAGAGCCTTCCAGAGCCAAGCCAAGTGCAATTGGGATCTGGCCCCAGAGAATCCCCTCTCTACTTGCAATGGCTGGTGACTGAGTCTAGGGAGAGAAAGGGGGGAATGGGGAGTAAGCCTCCTGCCAACACCCCTATAGATACTAGGGTAAAGAGACTCAGATTAATTGCATTGATAAAGGAAGACTCAAAAGAGCCCTGCAGAGACTTTTTTATCTGCTTAAGTCTCCTGGAGAGCATGTTGAATAAGCAAAACAAGCTTAGAGAGGAAACATATAAAACACGGGATTCAAGTATTAATGGGGCACCAGGAAGTGAAATCTAGTTGAAGACTGTGTTCAAGGTTATTACACTGTATTAAGAGAGTGGCAAACTTGGGGTAAGGTGCTACCCAGCTAAATTTAGATCCAGGCGTGGTTGTACACACCTTTAATCCCAGCATTACAGGAGACAGAACAGTGCGGATCTCTTTGGTCAAGGTCAGTCTGCACAGGATATTCAAGGAAAGCCAAGCTTAGGCAGAGAGGGTGATGGGAAACAGAAAGCTAGTAATAGATTAAGAGAAGCCATGTTCCAGTTCTTACAAGCAGCAGAACTATGCAAGTTTAGCTATGTGGCTCTCTGCCTTTAGGATAAAAAATAGAAGGGACTACTGGAACAATTGAAGCTGGTTAGCTGGAGCTAAGGAATTGGCCGTGATTAAGAAGAGACCAGCATTACTGAGGAGAGTGGAATTGTTTCCAAGAGTACAAAGAAACTGTAATCCAGAAATAGCCAAGGTTGTACCTACCTCTTACTGCAACTGTACTTTGTAATCTGTAAGATTCACCCAGGTGGTACTGGTTTGAAGGCATGAAGGTGTCATGAAGTGCAGCTGAGTCTTGGCACTGTGAAAGGCCATGGAAGGACATTGGTGAAGGTGCAGCCTCAGTTGTAGTTGATGGCACTGGATTGAAAGGATCATCTAAAACAACTGATGCTTGGCACTATGAAGAGAGCCTCTGAGAGGCTATTAGTAAGGACTAGTTGGAGCAGAAGACCCCAGCATATTGGAGATGCCAGTACCATGGGATGATGACCAAGAACAGCAGCAGCAGTGGAGTGGATCAACCAGAGCTTAGAGTGTTACAGCAGGCAAGGCTGGAGAAGTGATGTCAGCCATTTAGAGGAGCCCAGAAGATTGTGTGTGAATCCCAGACATTGAAACAAGAAGCTGTAACATTACAGCTGTCATGGAGATCCCCAAGATTTATCGAGATGCCAGAGCCATAGAATAGTTCCTGAGGAATGCTGCTAACAGGGTATGATAATGGACCAGAAAAAGAATCTTGTTGCAGTCAACAAACATGAAAAAAGAGTTTACTGTAGACACATGTAACATCTTTTAAGTATGGGACTTTGTCAGTAACTGTCAGTAAAGGGATGGGTGTGTGTTCAGATTCTGCCCAGGATAAGGAGACAGATACCTAATTCATATCATTTTGCTGAAACCATTGTCCCCTTCAGCTTACCCAACCTTGGGAGCTGCAGGTCTGTAACTGCAGAGGATCCCTTGTTGTTCAGAGAGACAAGGGGCCCACCCCACCCAGTGAGGTAGCCCTGAGAGGGTGGCATGTACATGCATGGATACCCTCTTGCATGCTGGGAAGCAGAGCCAGGAAGACCCAGAGAATTTCTGACGTCTTTGTGGCACTCAGGATTCCACAACAAATTCCAGCCCAGGTTTTCCCACATGGACTCCCCATGCCTTCTGCATATCCACTCCTCTTTGCTGAAGGAGTCGATTGTCTGTGGTCCACATAGGGTCTGGCTGTATGGGCCTGGAGGTCAGCTGACCACCCACGCCTTCTCAGAGAAGGCAGCTGGAGTCAGAGGCCAGGAAGGTCATCTCACAGAGGACACGAGGGCTGAGTCACAATTACAACCAAGCAGGTTATGGTTATGAGACCCCAGGGGGGTTGGAGGGCGGGTGCTGCAGTTTTCCTGGAGGAACACCCAGCTATGGATGGGAGGAGAAAGACCTTGACTATACCTGCCTAGCAGACCCTGGGGAGGCAGAGCTGGGCTGTGTTCTGTTTCTTTTTTAATTTATTTATTATATGTACACTGTAGCTTTCTTCAGACACCCCACAAGAGGGTATCAGACATCATTATAGATGGTTGTGAGCCACCATGTGGTTGCTGGGATTTGAACTCATGACCTTTGGAAGAGCAGTCAGTGCTCTTAACCACTGAGCCATCTCACCAGCCCTGTGTTCTGTTTCATCCCTTGGCATTTTATCCTAATAGCACTGGGCTGTGGCCTCTTCCAAGGAGGGTGAATACTTGGCTTTAGTGGAGTTCTGCCTATAGGGGCAGCAGTATTTAGTCATTTTTAGCAGATAAGCTACTTTTGGCTGGGCAGCTGTGTGACCTAACACTTTCTAAATTCATTTGCAAATTGAGTACTGATGAGTCGGAGACAAATGAAATGTCTCACCCAGATTGTGCAGGGATAACATGAATTGTTTCATAATACTGAGTGATCTTATACAACACTAAACACAGTTCACTTCTTTCTCTCCACCCTAGCTTCTCCAGAAGGCTGTCTTGTGACTTGTATCTCCCTAAGAGTCCCATGCTTCTTCAAATTCTGGTCTCACAGGAAAGCTGATCCCAGGACTAGAAGAGGATCCTGGGAGCTTAGCAGTTCATGTCTTTAGTGCCCCTGAGGTCCCAGGAAGCTGAAGGTCTAAGCATTCATTCCCATCTTGGATACTCAGTCCTCCCAGCAGGGGGTCAGTCAGTCAGTCACCACTGGAAGAAGCTGCAAGTGTTTCCTTAGCCTCTGAGTCTATCTCCATCAGTACTTAGCAGCCAGCCATTGAAACTCAGTGCCTGTGTTGTTTGCATTGCTATAGAGGTCCAGCGAGGTCCTCTCTGTCCAGGTATGGTTGGAAGATGGCTCAGAGTCTGCACTTCAATCTTCAATCTCTTCCAGAAACAGAAGTGCTTCTCTAGGATGGCTGACGGAGCTGTCCAGTCAAGAATGACAGTCCACTAGCAATGATCTCTCTACATCTACTATACACTGCCAACTCTTAAAAATATCAATGGCCTTTATTTAGTGTTGGTCACAGATTATAGATGCAGCTTAGCTCTGATGACAAAAGAGAAGGGGGCGGCAGTATATAAAAACAATAAATTTAATCAAAGGACAAGAGACATGATGGGATAGGCAGTCATTCCAGGGTCCTGGACTCAATCCAAGAGGTTTGTGTGTGATGTGTGAGGTAGCTCAAAGGGTTGTAAAGCCAGTCCCTCTCATCTGGACTGCATGGAGGCTGTAGGGAGGAGGTGGTTCTGTGGGAGTTGGTTTCAGAACAACCTGCAGGAGAAAGGGGGTACTTGTTTTATTTAGGATCTGGGTGAACAATGACAAATATGGCTGGCAGAGCCCTCCCCAATCCATTACCCCACCCACAATCTACTGTTTCAACATGTTTGACAGCCAGCTATGAAACACCTTAGGTACTGGGACAGAAAGACTCACCTCAAAGTAGGGTGGTTCGGGATCCAAGGAGGAGTTGAAAATCTCTAGGGGAGCAATGGAGGGCGGTTCTGGAGGTGTCTGGTGATCCACTCTTCTGACCTCATGCTGGAGTTCTCTGTTCTTGGAACAAAAGTACCACACTAGGCCGCAGAAGTACAAAAGGAGTAACAGGACCAAGAGGACGATGAACAGGATCCTAGGGAGGAGGAGGAGGATTTGGGATATGTGCCTAGGTCATGCTCCCTTGCCTACCTCCTCCTTCACCCCCCACCCTCTCCTTCAGATGGACCCAGACCTCAGTGAATGATGCCCTAAAGTGGTGACCCTGACTTACCTCAAGGGATTATTGGCAGGAGTCCAGACATTTTGGTCCAGGCAGCATTCATTGTCACAGCATCTGAATATTTTGGGGCAGTTTCTAGAAGGACAAACAGGCATGGGGAGATACTCATGGAATCAGAGTGTCCAAACAGAAGGTCCCTGCTTCCCTAGACACTTAGACCCTCAGATTGCCAGTCTCCTCTAATGGATGTGGGGCATAGATTCATCCTGGGTTCCCTGGGAGGAATTAGGATCTGGACTTGAGACCTGAGTTCAGAGTTCATCAGGGCAGTGTGCCATTGTTCCTCAGGCAGAATGGTCAGGATGCTGATCTTACATGGGAGGAAGGAGTGGGACATTGCTCATTTGACTTCCCTCCCCAGCTATGAAAGGTTGAGGATTAGCAGCAGTTACAGACCTGCAGATCCTGAGGTTGGGTTAGGTGAGAGGGGCTATGGCTTCAGCAAAGGAGACATAAGATAGGTGTCTGTCACCTTATCCAGGGCAGAATCTGAGCACAAACCCTACCACTCTGCCTTTACTGACAATTATTGACAAAGTCCCATACTTACAGGATGTCACATGTGTTTGCAGTCTGTGGAAGAAAAAAAAAAAAAGACAGAGGTCAGAGCTCAAAGCTCAAAGCCTGGGAGTTGAGACTCAGGTGTTAGAGTGTTTGTCCAGCATGGCAATACATCAGGTAGGTGTGTGTAATCCAGTGGTGCATGTCCATCATGACAGAACTCAAGAGAAGGCAGAACTATTCAGGGCTGCATAGCCACCGGGCAGTGGTGGTGGTACTCGCCTTTAATCCCAGCACTTGGGAGGCAGAAGCAGGCAGATTTCTGAGTTCCAGGCCAGCCAGGTCTACCGAGTGAGTTCCAGGACAGCCAGAGACATACAGAGAAACCTTGTCTTGAAAAACGAAAAAAAAAAAAAAAAAAAAAGCTGCATAGCCAGTTTGAGGCCACATTGGGAACAAGAAACTCTGTCTCAAAAAGAACTGGAGGCTCCTCTCTCCACATTGTTCCAGACAGTGGGTCTCAGGTTCTCCCTCTGGTCAACTACTATGTCCAGGATCAACAACTGGACTTCTGCTTTTCAAAGTGCTGGGATTAAAAGCACAAATTATCAAGCAAGCTCCTTCACCCTATTTATTGTCACAGGTAAGGGGGTCTCAGAGTGTTGCTCTGACTACCCTAGAATTCAGGGATCTACCTGTCTCTGCCTCCAGATCTCTGGATTAACGCTGTAGACCGATACACCTGGCTCTCACACACACACACAAACACACACACACAAATTGTAGATTGGCCTTAGAAGGCACCTTTATTGGATCCTTAGCTTCAGAGCCCCGAGAGCAATTTAAGCCCTCCACTGTCCCTACACCCATGATCCAGTGTCATAGGTAGAGACAGCTCTGGGGAGTTTACTAAACATGCTCAGGTCCTACAGATTCTCAGGTCAATGATGGAAACGCCCTGCACTGAATCCTTCAGTGTTTTGAGGAACCCAAGGTCTCCATACAGCATTCCATGCTATTGACAGCAGTGCTATCTAAGCTGTTTCTTAGGACTCTGTTCCCTCAGGTACTCTGTTGCCCTTCTGGCTACTTCACTTAAAACCATTGCCAAGGGTTGTGGTGCATGCCTTTAATCTCAGAACTCCACAGTTTCTAGGGCAGCCAGAACTAGACCCTCTCTCAACCAGCAAGGAATAGGAAGTCAGCTTTTGGCTTTGCTAAAGATCCTTACAATAGCATTTCTTTTACTAAAGAAAAGAGGAAAGGACAGGTGACAGCCACAGCTGGGATCCTTCCCTCTCCAAGCTCACAGGAGCTCTGTTCTTTAGTGAGGATCGACAGTAAGCCTACACACATTGGGCCCAGGAATTCAAAACTCAGAATCTCTTCCCAAGACTCTGATAGGTACTATCTCTCTCAATCTGATCTCTCTCTCTCTCTCTCTCTCTCTCTCTCTCTCTCTCTCTCTCTCTCTCTCTCTCTCTCTCTCTCTCTCTGAATTATCAGACTTTTGTCCTGGACCATATTCATTTTTCAACAATGGGTTTCTCTGTAGATTCCTGGCTGTCCTAGAACTGGCTCTGTAGACCAGCCTGGCTTTGAACTCAGATCTACCTGCCTCTGCCTTGTCAGTGTTGGGATTGAAGATGTGAGCTGCTAACACCACTAGGCTCCTGTACTAACTACATTAAAGCCATGGTTACACCAGGAATGGTGCACAGACCTTTAATTCCAATGCTGAGGTACCAAAGCAGGTCTCTGTTAAAATTATGGTCAGTATAATCTATATAGTGAGACCCAGTGCTTAAAAAAAAAAAAGTGTGGCAGGTTTGATGAACTGGAACAGGATTATTCCCTGTTCCATCTTAACCACGAGGACTGATCAGGATGGTTGGGAGCCTGAGTTTTAGGAAACATGGATTTATTAGATCTGATTGGGTGGATTGACAATGTCTATACTTGGCATCAGAGTGGGATCAACAAAAGAAGCAGAGGTCCCAGATTGGAAGTGTGTTGACTCTGGGTCACTCATGCATGGCCTTGGATGGAGAACTGCAGGCTCCAAACTGTGGACACTGTACTGGGAAGCAGACTTGGAACTTCACTCACCCCTCCACCCCCATAACACAGTCTCATCCTAGACTGTAAATTTAATCTCTGAGTTGAGGCCAGCTTGAACTAAGATCTCTAGGATACCAGGAACTAGAGAATCCATGTCTCAAAAACAAAATGAACAAACAAAATGATTGTATATTCAAAAGACTTGTTCTGCCCACCTCAGGAAAACCTGCCAACCCAGCACACTTAGAGTTTGAATATGAACAAGAGCTCAAATCCTGCCTCCCTGGGATCACAGCAAGAGGCCACCCAGCCCAGGCAGCCAGGTCTACCCTGAGATCAAATTGGACCCAATCAGAGAAGTGAGAACCTCCGTGTTTCTGGTACAGAAAGAGATAATTCCTAGATAGGATCAATAGACTATACCTCAAGGTCACCAGCCATGGAGAAACAGGAAAAGAGAGATTTAACCCAGACAAGCAAGACCTGAGGTTCCTCTGCCTGACTAAGAGCTTAGTAAGACATGCCAAGACTAAAACAGGGGTCAAAGACCCTATTCAGGGATGTGGTTGGGGCCAGTTCCCAGATAGCAACACAGCCCTGCCAAGACTAGGGGTACAGCCTTCCCCAGGGTCTTCCTCTTAGGTCCCTACCTGCACTTTCCCCAAGCAGAACAGAAAGGAAGTTACCAATTGTCTGTGGTTAAGGGAATTTCTGACAAGATGGGGACTGGACTCCTAGACAAGTCTCTGTCCCTTAGAGTCCTCCAAAAGTCACAGAAGTCTTGCTTACCTCATTGTTGCTTACTCCTTGGAGACTGGAAAGCAGGCCAAAGATCCAGGAGAGTGGGCCTAGGACCCAGGTGTCCTGCATTCTGTCAAGGTGTCCCCTGAGCTTCTGTGTGTAGGACAGAGTGACAGGGCAAGACCTTTCCAACTTCTCTCCACCTATGGGGCCCAGGCGCAGAGTTTACACACTGGAGTTGTTCAGGACCAGGGCTTCAAGGTGAACAGGAGCTCAGGGAAGAGAAGTGGGGAGGAGCTGGCCTTGCTTGAGTGTGAGGAATTGGGAATCCAGAGGTTGGAAGACATTGATTTACCAACTCTGTAACTTGGATGCATTGGATCAGTCTGGAAGTCCCTCTGCTGGGCTGAGCTTAAATAGTGGTTAGAGCAGGGCGTGGTGACACACCTTTAATCCCATGATGGAGAAGGCAGATCTCTGAGTTCAAAGCTACTGTGAGATTCCAGGCCAGACAGTGGTGGCGCATGCCTTTAATCTCAGCACTCGGGAGGCAGAGGCAGGCCGATTTCTGAGTTTGAGGCCAGCCTGGTCTACAGAGTGAATTCCAGGACAGCCAGGGCTACACAGAGAAACCCTGTTGGGGTCAGGAGACTGAACAGTTGGAGAGATGACTCAGAGATTAAGAGCAGTTGTTCTTGGACCTGGATTCAGTTTCTGGCTTCTGTATACAAGATGGCTCTGAAGCATATGACCTCTAGTTCTAGGTGATTCTGTCTTCTGAACTCTGAGGGCATCAGGCATGCACATCGTGCACATTCATCTATGCAACAAATACTCATACACATGAAATGAAATAAATAAATCTTAAATAACACTGAATCAGGTGGATAAATCTGCTTACCATCAAGCCTGAAAATCTGAATTTTGTTTTGTTTCCTTTTTTGGTTTTGGGTTTTGAAACAGGATTACCCTATGTAGCCTGTGCTGTCCTGGAACTCACTGCATAGACCAGGCTATCCTCCAACTCATAGAGATCTCCCTGCTTCTTCCTCCTGAATACAGTGATTGAAGGAGTGTGCTACCACATTCAGGATTTGATCTCTGGATCACATAGATACTTCTGGATCATATGGATTATTCCATGTAGAGAAAGGAAGTCAACTCTATGCATTTGCCAGCAAACACACACAGACACCACACACACACACACACACACACACACACACACACACACACACACACAGAGAGAGAGAGAGAGAGAGAGAGAGAGAGAGAGAGAGAGAGAGAGAGAGAAAGAGAATGAAAAGAATGAAGGTAATTAAAATATCTTTTGTTGTTGGTTGTGGTTTTTTTTGTTGTTGTTGTTTTGTTTTGTTTTGTTTTTTTCAAGACAGGGTTTCTCTCTGTAGCCCTGGCTGTCCTGGAACTCACTCCATAGACCAGGATGGCCTTGAACTCAGAAATCTGCCTGCGTCTGCCTCCCAACTGCTGGGATTAAAGGCATGTGCCCCTACTGCTGTCTGGCTGTTGTTGATATGATATATACTTTAAAATTTAAATTAAAATTCAAGCAATCAGTGGTGACACACAGCTTTATTCTTGGATCTTGGGAGGCAGAAGCAGGCAGATCTTTGAGTTCAAGGCCAGCCAGGTCTACACTGTGAGTTCCAGGACAACCAAGGGCACTCAGAGAAACTCTGTCTCAAAAATCAAAATAAATAAAATTTGAGCGAGCAGGTAAACACAGGAGGGGTGCTATACTTGCCCAGACACTAGAGAGGCTTGCAAGGGGCGGGAGGCAGAGATTGTGGGAAATGCAGGCCAAGGCACAAGAAGGGTTATGTTGTGTATGTGTCACATAAATGGTGCCATTCCTTTGTGCTTTGTCCAAGAGGGGAGGAAAAGACTGATTTGAGAAGGAAGAAGGCTGGCACAGCTTTCCCCACAGTGCTGGGATATTAGTGTGCCCACAGTTTTATAACTTTTTGGGAGAGATGTTGGTCACTTCCTTTCTGACTAAAGAAAAATCAAGGCTATGATCTTTGTCCATTGTGGCCAAAAAGCCACTAGCCCTTAGCAGGATGAGCAGGCAAGGTGGGATTCATGGAGGACTCAGGCAGTCAGAGGATGGATGCCAGGTGGCAGCATGGGCCAGCACCAATGTGGTCACAGGGACCTGGGATTTGACCTGAGAGGCTCTGTAGGGCCCCTTACAAGAAAGCAAGCTGGACACAGGAATGCATGATGACTCTCAAGGGGGGGAAAAAGACAAGTGGCAGCTGAGCTTGGGGAAGGAGAGCAATGAGTTAGTGGCTAGGTCAGTGTCTGTTCTGGGGACACAGGAAGGTTGCCCTCGGAGGCTCTGGAGTTACTGGGAGGTGCATCTCACATGTCTTGTTACCTGTACATTCTAACCTGGATACTGGGAAACAGGAGGCTTCTTGAAGACCTCCCCTGGCTTCAGGTCACATTTTTCTTTGTCATAACAAAAGACTCTCCAATCGTCCCTTTTCTCCCAGTCTCTGTTTTCCAATTTCACTGTCCAAATGAGTGCCACCTCCAAAGGTTCTGTTTTTCCTCCTGTTTCTAGCACCCACTGTCGGTCAGTGGAGCCAGACTGTTTCAGTTTTCCCACATTTCCACAACTGCTTTGGTCCCTGCAGTCCAATGGCTCAAGCTCCCTCACTCTCCTCCAAGGCCTCTGATCTTTCTCCCACTTTCTGCTTCTGTTTCTCGTTATCCCTTGGCCCCTTCTAGCATTTAAAAGACAATCTTCCAGAGCCAAGCCAAGTGCAATTGGGATCTGGCCCCAGAGAATCCCCTCTGTACTTGCAATCTTCAGTAACTGAGTCTAGAGAGAGAAAGGGGCTGATGGGGGGGATTATGCCTCCTGCCAAGTCCCCTGTAGTTATCAATGGAGACTTTCTGAGGCCCCATCCTCCCGACCCACAACTGAGGTGGGACCTCCTTGGGACAGTGCTGAAACTTCCCAAGGACACTCACACTTCTGCCCTCTTGAGTGAAATTGTTGCTAATGTTGACTTCTGGCCCTCCTGCCTCTGCACTAGCCCCTCTGTCTCTGTCTGCATCCTGAGATGTACTTCTATGGTCGTTTATGCCCTCCTTCCTGCCTCCCTGTCAAGGCTGGTCTGGAGCCCCCTCTAGAATTATGTCTCAGGAAAGAGGAGAAGGCTATGCATTTGGTAGTTAAGAAGAGGGTTGGGGATGGGATGGCTGGAGAACCTAAACGAAGTACCTAGTACCAGAGGCTTTGATGGGCAGAATGGGGCTTCTGTTAGTTCTTTTGACTCTCTGGCATCCATCTAACCCAGATGTATTGTTGTCAGAAGAAAGATGGGTGGATTAAAGCTATATTCAGATAATACTAAGGTTTCCTTGTGTGATGTTTGTATGCGCTTGACCCTGAGGTTGGCACTATGAGAAGGTGTGGCCTTGTTGAAGTAGATGTGTTCTTGCGGTTGTGAGCTTTGAGACCCTCATGCTAGCTGCCTGGAAGCAAGTATTCTGCTAGCATCCTTCAGAAGAAGATGTAGAACCCTCAGCTCCTCCTGCAGCATGCCAGCCTGGGTGCTGCCATGTTCCTGCCTTGATGATAATGGGCTGAACCTCTGAACCAGTAAGCTAGTCCCAATTAAATGTTGTCCTTATTAGAGCTGCATTGGTCATGGTGTTTGTTCACAGCAGTAAAACCCTAACTAAGACAGATGTTGGTACCAGGAGTGGGGTATGGCTGTGATAGGCCTGGCCATGCTTTTGTTTGGAAGAATGTGGATTTGGAGACTTTGGATTTGGAAAGCAGTGGGAAGCTTTTAATGGGGATTAATGGGCCATCCTTGTAGGAATATGGAAGACTTTGTTACTGGAAGTAATTAGAGGGCAGGCAGTGGTGGCACACACCTTTAATCCCAGCATTTGGGAGGCAGAGGCAGGTGGATTTCTGAGTTCGAGGCCAGCCTGGTCTACAGAGTGAGTTCCAGGACAGCCAGGACCACACAGAGAAACCCTGTCTCGAAAAACCAAAAAAAAAAAAAAAAAATCTCTGCCTGGCTTTTTTGAGTCTTCTTTGTGAATGCAATTAATTTGAGTTTCTTCACCTTGGTATCTACAAGGGTGTTGGCAGGAGGCTTACTTCCTCTCCCCCCTTTTCTCTGCTTAGACTCAGTCACCAGATATTGCAAGCAAAGAGGGGATTCTCTGAGGCCAGATCCCAATTGCACTTGGCTTGGCTCTGGAAGATTCTCTTTTGAAGCTTTAGAATGATTCAAGGTATAATGAGAAACAGAGGCAGAAAGTGGGAGAGACCAGAGGCCAGTTCCTTGGTGGAGGGTGAGCAAGCTGGAGGGTCCTGAGCCAGGGACCAAAGCAGTCATGGAAATGTGGGAAAACCAAAACAGTCTGGCTCCACTGACCTACAGGGGGTGATAGAGAGAAACTGGAGGGAAACCAGAGAGAAACCAAAATTGTTGCCTTTGGAGATGGCGAACACTGAAATTGGAAAACAGAGATTGGGAGAAAAGGCAAGAGGAGAGTCTCTCGGTATGACGAACAAATACAAGACCAGAATTCAGGGGAGGTCTTCAAGAAGCCTCCTGTTTCCCAGTAGCCAATTTAGTGTGGACAAGTAACAGAACATGTGAGATGTACCTAACATTAACACCAGAGCCTCCAAGGGCGGTAACCTTCCCGTGTGCCCAGAGCAGACAGTGACCTAGCCACTACCTCATTGCACCCTTTCCCCAGGATCGGCTGCCATATACCTCTCTTCCCCCCTTGACAGTCATCATGCATTTTCCTGTCCAACTTGCTTTCTTGTAAGGGGCCCAAGAGCCTTTCAGGTCAATTGCCAGTGCCTTGTGCCCACCTCTGCCCTAGCCAATGCTGGCAGCCATACTCTGACCGCCTGAGTCCTTACATAAATCCCAACTGGCCTGCTTATCTCCTTGAGGTCTAGTGGCTCTTTGGCCACAGTGGACAAAGAGCTTAGCCTTGGTTTTTCTTTATTTAGAAAGTAACTGTACCAGCATTCTCTCCCCACAGAGTTGTAAAAATGAAGGGGACACTAATATCCCAGTACTGTGCCAAAGTTTTTCCTCTCCAGATGGAAGTCT